CCGTAAGCGGAAACACCGACTGACAAGCATAAGTTGAAGGCAGAGATACAAATTGACGCTTGCGCTGGGTTCGACTCCGATCGCCGACGGAATTCACCTTGCCACGACCACCGCACCTTGACCACAACACCTCCGCAAACACTCGCAATGCGTACTTCGGGTCCAGTGTAAGTCTGGAAACGCGTCTTCAACCAGATCGCTCACCGGGACGCGTTTAGAATGGTCACGCTATGGGTGATCTCGCCGGATACGCGTTCCGAGCGTAGATTCGATCTACACATCACCACCAGTCAGCTCAAGGTCTGACCCTCGATAAGCCATTTTCTTGCAATATATTAACACCCGGATGCGCACTCGCCGCAGAACAAACTCGAGCTGATCACTGGTATCCCTGTCTCAAATCAAGCTCTCTCCCTTTACAACTCTGAGGAGGACGCTCAGCCTGTTGCAATTCTGGATGACGATAACAGGCCCTTGGGTTACTACGGCGCTCGGGACTGGCAGTTTCTCAAGGTATGTACTCGTTTGGGTGGTGCTAATTTTGCTAATTACAACGTGTATCCAGATCATCGACACGAATCCTTCGGTAACACTTACCGGTCAACTCAGCGACGTTTCCCAAGTCGAAAAATTCGAGCTGAGCGAAGAGGCTTACGCGCAGCGCAATGGTAACTCGACTCTTCTTTCATCAATGGTTTTGCCCCTGTCTCAAAAGTTTCACCCAGATACCGTCCTCGCCTACAAGCAACGCCAAAAGCTCGGACGTTTTGCAGAAAAGCCAGATGAAGAATCGCAGAAAACCGAAGAGGATGTCAACATCCAAGTAGGCTCCAGATGCCAAATCGAATCTACCGAACCAGGTTTTCACAAACGCGGCACGGTACGATTCGTTGGCAATACCAAATTTGCTCCAGGGACATGGGTTGGGGTCGAGTATGACGAACCGATCGGGAAGAACGATGGATTGTCAGTGTTGCTCTCCCTTTTCCTCAATCGTAAAGTTACTGATGGATATACGTGTGCAGAGTCCAAGGAGAGAGGTATTTCGAATGTCGACACGGATATGGGGTGTTCGTTCGACCGAACAAGGTCGAAACTGGAGATTTCCCGGTCGAGGAGATCAACTTTGACGAAGAGATGTAATGGCTGAAACCGTCACTATAGCTCGTGAATGACTTACCCTGCCGAACTTCATTTTGCTTGAGCTGCCCAAGTTTATACTCACTTCAGACACAAGATTGGCGACAGGGGAATGGCATACGGGGCAAAAGCATTCGATAACATACCTCCAGAAAGTATCGTCACTCGAAAAGGGTAGATAGGTCGACCCACGATGATCGGAAGTTATCCCAACCGCAACTTTAAGCCTAGTATGCAAAAGAAAACCCTCAGGCCAAAGAGCTGGAATGAACTAACGGCACCGGTCCACCCCCCTCCGACTCGGCTTCTACCTCAGAAGGAATCTGTCCATACCTCTCCCTGTAATGTATGCAAAGATTCGGCCTGGCCCGGAAGATGTATTCCCAATGTGTCGCCGTGGTGTAACTCGCATATAAATCAGCCACCAGATTTCACACCGTTGTCAGCTCAACTCGAGTCATTCAAAAAATTGCGCTCCGCAACGTACATGTTCCACAAGACACCAACTCATTGCATCAGTTTTCCCAGCTCGTAAAACCTACTGAATACTTTCACGGTATATAGTCGTTCCTCCGAAATTTGTACTAGCCTCCGTCTTCTGGGGCGCCCAAGTTCCTCAGTATCAACCCAGTTCAAATTACGAGGTACTATCAGAGAAACATACGCGTCCGCAAGAGAGAACAATAAGCCCCACCTAAGGCTCCGAGCCCATTGGCTCAATCTCTGATTTGTGTTCCCGAATGCTCGACCTAAGCGAGGAATGGCAAGGATAACCTATAGCCAATAACCGTCCTAAAACTGCCAACCCCCGAGATAAAATCGGACAAAGAAAACACCGGATATCTGATGGAACTCCGTAGGTGCTAGGGAGAGCCCCAGTAGAGATGTGGAATGGCCACCTGATTCCATTGAGCTTCCGCTGGCGGTCTACACAGCACTCAGTCACTAATCCTCCCGTGTTCCATGGGGAACGGTTGAGCCACTACTTTCCGAACAGCAAAGAACGCGACCAGGGAAGAAACCAAAAGACTAGCGAACAAGAGATTCCAGACGGGAATAATCACTCTAAGCGAGCTGTCCCATACTGGAGGGGCAAGAGGGTCTTTTCTAGGGAGGATGGAACGGAGGTGGGCTTCCAACAGTACTCGCTGGAGTCGGGTCTGGTTTGGACTGGACATCGGGCGTGGTCGTGGTTTTTGATGGCTGCAGGAACGCACACAAGGCATCCCATATGCTATCGGAGGTTATCTTTCGTCTGATTACACCGATTCTACGTACCATTGGGGGTCAATCTTCAGAAGCTTGCAAACTTTCTCATCCTGCGTGACGGCATTGGAGAACCCAGGCCATGGGCACGTGTACTCGCCACAGCCAGCCCGAAACGCCCGCATAGGCAGCGGCGACAGTGGTTACGATTGACATCCCCGTTGTTTCGCCGTCGGTTTCATTGTGAATAACGGCAGCAGGGAATAGGGAGGAGTGGGCAGATGTACACCAGTAGAGTAACAATACGATCCTCCATTCCAAGATTTGTACTTAATCCCCCAAGTCAAGCTAGAGAATGGATCGTCTGGGCCGTGTGACGTTAGTTCTGACATAGCCGGTCGCACGTGATTGACTGATTACCAGCCTTCTGAGCCCCACCTCGTACAGCTCGTCTTCCGCTCACCATCGGCTGTGGACCGCACGAAGACAAGATCTACGACCTCGGATCGGCTGTACGAATTGCAGAGGTTAGAAAGCGCGAAGATGCCTGAAGGAAGGGCAAAGTTATCGAGAGGCGTCTCTGCTACCTCGCTGAGAGAAAGGTTAACCTCGTTGAGTTCCACTCCACTGAAGCCGGTAGCCGCCAGTTTGCAGGCTAACATCGAGTGCGTATTCCGTTCTTTGCTTTGTTCGATAGTCTTTGAGACATCCCTTCTCCCATTGTTCCGTCATTCGACTCCCGTATAAACCTTGTCTCACCGACACCCTTCGAACAGATTCGTACCTTCCAAGGTCCCCACGAAACGGAGGATCCAAACGCTGGCTGTGTTCACCTGGTCCTCAACGATGTTCATTTGCTGTGCCTTGTTCTTGTACCTCTGGTATGGAACCGATTGGACTGTTGGACGTGACAATCTAATTCTCGCGTTCCCTCAGTTCGTTCCCCCCGCTTTGGCCAGTGTTGGCCGCGTATATGTTCTGGGTGCTTGCCATTGATAAGAGTCCGGTCGCCGGGGGGAGATCGAGCCAGTGGTTTCGAGGGATGAGGTTTTGGAGATACTTTTCAGAGTACTACCCCGCCTCGTACGCGTCTTTCCTCGCCTCGTTCTATACTGGCACCTTCTACCCGCTGACCCACTTTCGGACGTTTATCGTTTTCCATAGATTCATCAAGGAACAAGATCTCCCAGCTGATCGACCGTATGTTTTCGGATATCATCCACACGGTGAGCCCAGGTCGCGTGTACTCGGACACCTTAGTAATAGACCCTGAACGGTACCTAACCAGGTATAATTGGGATGTAAGTAGTGATTCTGAGACTTGGATTCCGAACCTCCATGCTGAAGCATTGCATCAGGGGTGCTTTGGCAACTTTCGCCACCGACGGTTCGTATTCCACTCTATATCAAATCCTTGCTTCTTTTCCCTGAGATCCAACGCCCCTTTCAGTCACAGGGTTCTCCAAAGCATTCCCTGGAATCAAACCCCACCTACTCACATTAGAGACGAACTTTCGTACACCCTTCTATCGAGACATCCTGATGTGGATGGGCGTCTGTTCCGTTAGTAAGGAATCTTGTCACAACATCCTCGGACAGGGTGGTGGGTCTGCTATCACTATCGTTGTAGGCGGGGCTGCAGAGAGTTTGAGCGCGCACCCCGGGACTGCGGACCTGACCCTCAGAAAACGGTATGAAGCAAGTGGGTTCAGTGGGTTGTCCTTGTTCTTACGACTCATTTCACAAGGCTTGGGTTCATTAAGGTTGCCATTCGAGAGGGGTACGTTTTGGGAACAGATCTTCCCGGACTCGCGAGGCTAACGTCGTCACAGGGCTAACCTGGTTCCTGTGTTCTCGTTTGGAGAGAACGACGTAAGTGCCATCCGATTGTACCTGACCTGGTGTTTTGGGCGTTGACCGTTCGGTAGATATATCGACAAATGCCAAACCAAAAGGGAACCACCGTCTTTGCGCTGCAGAAGAAGTTCCAAAACGTCTTCGGCTTTACCCTGCCTCTATTCCACGGACGTGGACTGCTGAATTGTACGCGCAACAAATTCTCCCTTGTTGGCCGCAAACTTTCCTCTTGACCTTGTCTGCCAGATAACCTCGGGCTACTGCCTTACCGTAGGAGGATAGTGTCCGTCAGTAAGTCGCAGACATTCCCGAGCGCTTGGTCTTAGGGAACTCATATGACTCTAGTTGGTCGTCCTATACACGTCAACCGGTCAGCGAACCCCTCTATGGAAGAGATCACTAGGGTGCAAAAGTTGTATATCCAGGAGTTAGAAAGGTCCGTATGGAACCATCCTTGCGCCACTTACCATACGCTCAACCACTTTCTCAGAATCTGGAATAAGTACAAGGACGAATTTGCAAAGGCCAGGCTCAGAGAGATGATGATTATTGAATAAATCAGTAAGCAGAGGGAGATCTTCTCCCGGTTCTCGTAAATCAGTCAGCCCTTGTTTGTCTTCATAGATTTTTACTTAGAAAGCGTGTATTTTCGTATCCTACGCCTGTGACTACGTTTAAACACCCTCGGAGGAATTGCGGCGCGTGAGGTAGAAGGCTAAAAAGCTTATCCCTGCCAACCGTTGGGCAGTAAGCCTGTAAAAGCAGACCGGGGATATGGTACAAAAGGTGGGAAAAAATTCCCATTAGCCGACTCGAACGACTGACCTCGTCATCACGGTATTGCCGCAAGGCGGCTGAGGTACTAGTGACGCGCTCTACCAACTGAGCTAAACGGGAGATACCTGTTTTGTCCTCGGTACCCTCAGTAGCACCTGCATCAGGCTGTAACAGGCGAACGGAACATGAGAAAGATGGGGTCTGGTCGTGGGAACACCGTGTAAATCGTTTGTGAAAGTTGCGTTGATCAGACGGAAACGGAAAAAGTTTGAGGAACAAGTGAGGGGGAAAAGAATAAGCGAGGCTACCGCGGGATTACGGTGAGTTTTACTAATCGTGTGAGAGCTCGAGGAAAATGGGAAATGGCGTTTGGAAATATCCGGTTCCCGATATGAAGGCAACGGAAATTACAGTCTCGGAAGGTGGATAGAAACGATACACACGTTCCTTCTGAATCTTGTCCTTGCCCCTTGGAGATGTCGTCTGTCACATGTCATGTGCTAATCTACAGATGCGCCGAGTGGAAGGCACTCACTCTATACAAATGTACCCGCTCACCTACGGTGACACGACGTCGGCCGCCGGTGCGGTCGTTTGAAAAATACATTCTCTATCAGACATGAATTCGGGCTTCCTGGGCGGGCCGAGCAACTAACGACTCTCTGTGCCTAACACTGAAACCCTTTTTTTTTCTTATGGGGAAGCCCGACCGACGCCAGCTGATAGTTCTCGGAAAATGGAGTTACGAGATATTACCGATGAACCGGCGACACTGCGGGCGGGTCGAGGATAGTCTCACTATATCATGGGCTCACAATACAATGCCCTCACCTGGGTGGCAACCATCATGGACCCCACGCTCCCATCAGCATTATTATTGCACGCAATTCGTTCTTTCGGACCTTCTTACCACTTGTCTTACCTTTTCTCTCTTTTCACCTGGAATGAATTTTTTACCCCGTCGTGTGGCGTATTGAAGGTTTGGGGCGGCAAAACAGTGAATGAATGACCTTCCGGTGGATTCGAATTCCAAGCGGTGAGGTGTTGTCGCGTTTTGTGGTTTTTGAGTGGTGGTGGTGGACGATGTTGCTCCGCAAACCGACATCGGCTCGGTCTGTCGGGCGGGTACAGTCAAGTGCCTGGCATAATGCGGACATAGTGTTGCTCTGTCGGGGGCGAGATCTCGCGGAAATCATACGGTAAATTGAACATCAAGAGGGGGACTTCGCGTTGGACCGATATCTGGCACCTGTAGATCTTGGTAATTGGGTATCTCATGCCAATGATAGAACGAAAAAAGCGGTTATCCTACGGCAAGTTGCCGCAGATGGACCGAAAGACAGGCCAAGAGAGAAGCGCGCGGAAACAGTCCATCGAAGGACCCCGGGGTAATAACGGAGGACCTAAAGTAGTACGACGTGGATACCAATGAGTCTCGCACGTTCTGGCGTCTTTCGTCGTTCTTTGTTGCACGTGCGCCACTCTCCCCCACAAAACGCCTATCCACATGTCATTGGACACACAAAACCGAGGGACGCGGAGATAAGGCATAAGAGCGTTCATTTGTACCTCGAAGTGTCCCCCGTCCACTAGAGTCCGCTCGGCCCAACGGGTCCAAGAACTAATCCCGATGGTACCGAGGGAGACGCGTTCCATAACAAAACAGGAACAGACGATCTCGATCATCAATCGGAGGTGTGCGGCTCTAGGAACGGTAAGCAAGTGCGTCATAGTATCATACAGGGCCTTCATGAATCCATCGCGGTCCCGAGCACGTTTGTGGCCGTAGTAAACTGAGAGACCTGCAAAAGATCTTCGTATACCGGAACCACAGGTGATACGCTACAAGATCACGAAAATCAGTCCCAACTTGGCCGGTGATCAGCGCGAGGCAATTTCGTAAGGGTCATAGTTAGTGCGGTAGATCTATTAGTTCTGTCGTATCGCCCCGGTAGCGGAGAAGAGATCCTGAAAGATACAGAATATTGCATACATCGATACAAGAATGGTATTTCCGCTTCATGTCGAGTAGAATCCCGAATCGCTGACGCAATCTCCAGGATTGCCTGTCGCCTCTAAACGTACAACATCTGAATCCGAGACGTAAAATTATGAGAAAAAAACTCGAATGGAGAATGGCCTTACTGAAATAAGCGTGCGCTTGAGCCTCACGAGCGGTGAGTCGTTCTTGATGGTCATAACGAAGAAGCTTCTCGAGTAAATCAACAGCCTCCGACGTGAAAAATGGCAAGGTATCCGGTGTCGTATATCGTGTCCATGGTTGCCTTGGCCACCTGACGTACAAAGTTAACCTACATTCAGGTCGAGAAACGTTTCGTACACACGCTCGAAGCAATGCATCAGAATCGGTCTCCATCTCGATATTGTACTTCTCCGTATATTTGTCGAACTCTTCCGTCCCCAACACCTTGAGAATCTTCAACAGCTGATCGTCGTTATCAGATCCTCTGAAGAAGTGTTCCCTGCGGAATATCTGTAGTGCTTTCAGCTCTCGGACAGACCACGCAGCGAGAGTCACACAAACCAGCGAGGCAAGCATACAGCCGACACTCCACATGTCTAAACTATAGTCGTAACGTTTGTAGCGGACGAGGAGTTCTGGGCCCTTGTAGTACCGGCTGCCGACCCTGACGTGGTAGTCGGTGCCAGGGTGATAGAACTCTGCCAAACCCCAGTCAATTAAACGCAACTGTATCAAGGTCACTGAGTACGACGACGTTCGAGAACGGAATGGGTTCAACCTTTCGCGTCGCAACGTCGATCATAACGTTCCCTGGCTTGACATCACGATGGATGATACCCCTAGAGTGAACAAAATCTAGGGCCTAGCAGAAACGACTCAGTAAATTATCCCATGGGGCTAGAAAATCGTACCTTGAGGAGTTGGAACGTGTAGTACTTCATGTCGAGTTCGTTCATGGTTCGGAGGAGAACCTTCCAGTCGGTGTTGTCGACGTACTCCATGATGAGGCTATGGTATGCACGCGATGTATCTCGTACAACATCCAGAAGCGCAACAATATTGGGACCTCCGGAGATGTTTCGTAGCACTTTGATCTGATGATGTGTGTCAACGTTGTGCATAGAAATGAGTGAAAGAATTAATTCGTACTTCCCGCTTAATCTTCTTTTCTGAGACAGGCTTCAGCACCTTTATTACACAGGTTTCGTCATTGAGAATATCCGTTCCTTCGAAAACCTGAGCGCGCAATCCCGTGTTAATGGAAAATGGGGAACGGGCAAACGGAATTGTCAAACCTCTGAGTATTTTCCACCACCGACCCTGCGGATGATTTCATACCTGCTTGGCTCGTTCCATTGAATTTCCATGCGATCTATCGGGACGGAAGTGATTGGAACCAGGGAGCGACAAGAGGGGGCGGATGATGGATATTACGGACCGTAGTCGTACCATTTTGGACCGGAGAGAGCATTGACGTCTGCGTACACTCGTGCCATGGATGAGTGGACAGGCACACTGAAACGCCTGGCTGACCTGGCCAACCGGTGAGTATGAAAGAACGAGTCTTTGACAATCGCCCCGGATAACCTTTGCGATGCTCCGAATTAGGAAGTTTCTTCTCTCGCCTGGCGCTCCCGTGCCAAAGAGAGCCCGGGGAGCAACGAGGCGGCCGTGTGGCCTGAAGCGTACGTACCGAGACAGAAGACGAGAGCGGAGAGAAAGAAATAAGAGGAGATGGCCACAGTAACGCCCTACTTCGAAACAGTCAAGGTGACATCTCTCAATTTCATTCACCGTTTCTTTTGTTAATTTCTTTGCACGTATACATACAGTCGTTCGCAGATGTGCCGGTTACCAGTGATGGTGTCGAGACGGCCTCTTTCTTGGATGCCTCAGATGGATTTGTGAATATGTTTGGTAAGTATCGCAACAAATCGACCGGTCCGACCTTGAAACCAATGCGGCATTATCGCCCGAAAGACCTCCTGGGCATTGGCGTATTTTCCTTTGTCCAGGTCGACCTGCGAGCCAACATCGGGGTACGCCACTTTCTTGCCTCTCGGATTGTCTGCCGCCGCCCGCGCACCTCAGTCAATGTTGACCAGTGTAACCGAATCAGGGCGTCCGGTCCCGTTATACGTCCCATCAGCAGGTATCCAGCACGCTCGAGACGTTGGTTACCAGCGAGGCTCAGGAAGGCACACGGCAAAGCACGGCCTGTCTCGTCCGCCTAATACGGTACGTAAGGCTACGTTTCACTGCCTACTGTGCGAACCAGCCTCCGAGTTTTCCGTTCCGCACACGTGCACAGCGGTCTCTTGTTCACTTGTCGAGCGCTGGAAAACATGCAAACCGATCACACTTCCGAGTTGCGAACTTGCTTCAGACGATCATATGACGACGTCCTGAGGCATCACCATGGATGGCTAATCCAGTCCGCGGTCATCGTACGTGTCGGCAACGCACCCTTTCAGCTCAAACCGATTTTTATTTCCTATTTTCTCCTTCGTATCTCGTGGTCCTTTTTCAGTTGGCCATCACAGCCGTGCCGTCCCGACCAGAGTTTTACAGACGGATATCCCAGGGGGCGTCTTACGAGAAACTGGACACGGAATTGGCAAAATGGCTTGAAGGCCTCAACCAGATAGTCGTCCACATGAAGCGCTTCCTCGACGAAGGTGGTTATGGTACGGTATAGAATCGGGGACAGCTCGGAGATTATCGTCGTTTGTTATACAATTCTGTGGATCACGCATTCCAGAAGCTGTCAACCAGACAAGGAGAAATGATGATGCCTGCTGTGTTTGTTGACGCAAACAGACCAAGTACGCTAAACATTCCGAAGCCTGGAATAGATTTCCGGCTTCGCGGTCGACCGTTGTCATGGCCAACCGACATTTGTCTTTTCGTTTCGAACACATTTGGCCAATCAAAAATTTTGATAGCCCTCGAGTATAACACCCCATTTACTTATAACATATGTAACTCATTCAGGTTTGGTGTCCGTTCCCGCTGCTCCCCATACCCATCATGACACATCCACTGATGGTAGTCAACCCGTAAGCCTTATACTCTCGTGATTCTTCCTCTAGCATTGCTTTACTCCCTTTTCCGCTCCAGGTCACGAAGCCCTCCC